AGCAGGCAATGCAATGCACACCTTCTCTATCAAAGGAGATGCAACTCATATTCATTGAGAAATTGACAGAATATGTTTCTAGATGTGGTGTGATACAGTTTCTTCTTAGGCATGATTCCTTAACTTTTCAAGGTGGTTCTGGTAAATCCTAGGTTATTTTACTCCTTAAACCTATTTCCTGATAACCTCTTTCTTCATGTAATTCTTGAAAATCAGTTCCTATTCCTGCAATTTTTGCTATCATGTTTTATATTGAAATTCAAGAAGAACCGCTAAATGAACAAATCACAAAAATGGAATGAAAAATACAAGACCATATTTTAGGAAAAATGCATGACTGGTCTGGCAATGGTTTGTAGAGTTTAGTAGCTTATTCAGAGTAATTTTCATGCTTTCCTTTGCATGTTTGGATGCAATCCCTTTGAAATATTATTGCTCTAGTTATTAAGCTATGGCTGCCATTGGATTTGAGCTTCCTAAAGAACTATTTCTTGAATTATACTAAGCCAAAAGGAAAAATGAGAAAACCTTGAGTGACTGTACGTCATGTAGAGGACATTAACTTTTTCTTCGAAGTGACTTGATCCTTCTGGGCCAAATCCTCTCTCTCTAACCCTCCCCCCCCCCCCCCCCCCCCCAAAAAAAAAAAGAAAAAAAGAAAACCAACACCACACACACACACTTGTTTACAAATGCACACAATTAGAATCCATCTCCTGGATAGACTCCAAAGAAGAAAGAGAATGGATGGCTAACAAATTTCATCATGATGGATTTGGTAGTGCTTACCTTATATTCATATCTGTAATAATTTTTAGAAGTAAGAACAAGTCATATCAGGCAGGTAAAGTCAGTTGTATATCTAGAAACGTGTGGAATTCTTATGTCCAGTGACATATACAGTTGGATAATCTTTCAAGTAAAATTTTGAAAGTAATTAGTTTCTTCTCTACAGAATTCCTGTTGTTTAACAATTAAAATTCCCCCTGGAATGCTGACATTTGGAAATAAAATCAGTAGCAATAAAAGGAATAAATATGGAAGGCTAGAACATTTATTTCTTGCTCATTGGGAAAATTTCGGACCCAATATCTGGAAGAAGTATAAAACTTAGTAAAACATCACTGTTTAAGTTTCCTAGGTATTCAACGTATTGTTTATAAGAGGTTTGCATAATTTTAATTATCATGGTGCAGAATACACCCTGTGTTCAGTTTGAGCAATTAGCAGCAGGTTTAGATGATAAACATATTTTCTCTCTGATAAGTGAAAGAATCCTTAATGCTTGAAAGGTAAGATTAATGAAGTTATTGATTAGCAAAAATGGTTTAATTAGGAGGATTCTCTAGATCAATTCTTTTGTGCTATTTTGGTAATGGAGTTTTGCTTGCTCTTACAGAGGTATAGTCCCATTGCCTGCTTGATAACTGAATTCTCAACCCATGAATTTAGAAATTCTTGTGCTCATGCATATCAAGTTTTTATTTGTAACGATGGAGAGAGAAAGGGTAGGAGTGGGGAGAAATTATTTGCGAAATTTGGAAAATAACTCAAAGCTACCTGAATATTGAAATTGAAAGAACAAAAGTGGATGAGCTTATGGCGCTTATGGTGATTACTTTTCTGAGCACATGAGGAAAGGCTTTAGTTTTCTGCTGGTTAAAGACCATATTTTCATATTACTTGTAAGCAAGGCAGATAAATTTCCATTCTACTGTTATTGATGTGGGTCTTCACTATCTTGTCTGAATTGATCCTTATGATTGGCATGAACAGCACATGTGGCCTTTGCTGAAGGTTGGAGGTGGCTCTGGGACTGAAAGAGAGGTTGCTGTTGTGGCAAACTTAAGTGCCAGAGTAGGATCAATTGGAGATAATCGACTTGGAGGTTGGCACTCATATCGTGCATCAAAGGCAGCACTTAATCAGTGTATGATCTGACTTTGTTTTCATGGGTTTCTTACTTCATTTGCTTCTTGAGACTTCATTGGAAAAGCTTTGCTTTCCTCAACCAGTTCTGCACAACATTAATACTTTTTAACCATCAAACCGTGCTTTGCTTTTTATTAGAGAAGGAATCTTATTTGCTTTACTATGTTTGAAAAGTATGATTATCTAAGCTTTAATGCATCATGTTCAAATCCAACCATCTGTTAATCTAGATCTTGGGATCTGGTTTGGGGACTTATTGCATACAGTGAAATCCCACGAAGTAAAATATTGTATAGCAGACAGAATTTCTCTAATCTAGAACTCATATGAGGGGAAAGAATATCATTTTCGTCCATATTTTCCTTCCATCTGCTGATATTCCTATGTAACAAGTAGCATTTCAATGTCATTTTCCTATCATCCTGTCCAAATACTAGTATTGTCTCTGTTTGGATCATTGAAGTTTTTCAAAAATTAGTTTTTCAAATACTATAAAAATTTTTAAAAAGTATTCTAAAAGGTACTCTAAAAAGTAGTCTTAATTTTTTTTAATATTTAAAAAATATCCCAAAATATATTTTAAAAACTCTACTACTCTTAAATATTCCAAAATATACTCTAAAAACTCTGCTACAGTAAAATTTTTTAAAAACACCCTCAAAAACAGCTGTAAAAAGCTGAGGGGTTTAGTACTGTGTGTTAAGGGAAGCTCAACCCTAATGGTTTTTTCCAAATGTAGTTATACCTTAAAGCCAATTAGGTACCAAGTGAGATAATTATGTCGATTTCATGAGGTAATGAAGTCATATCTACTTTTGTTTTGTTTTCATTTCTCACAGCTACTATGGGCTTAAAAGCTTGATATGCATTCATTGTTGCTTTGGCCTGAGTGAAATGACTACATTTGGCCTCACAAACAAATGGTTTGGGTAGATGATATGCTTTTGATCTGAAAGATCAGCAAGATTCTACCTCATACAGACATTCAATTCTACACCAATATGTCACCCATACTTTGCACTGAGTAATATGCCTTGGGAAGTATGACTGTTACAATTGTATTTGCATGGTCCACCTCATGCATGTGCTCTAAATTTCTCAATTTCTAATTGAAACTTGCAGTGACGAAGACAATGTGTGTGGAATTTGCTCGTAGAAAAGATCCACTTATATGCCTGCTCTTGCATCCTGGGACAGTCGATACAGATCTCTCGAGACCATTTCAGAGAAATGTTCCTGAAGACAAGCTTTTCTCCATAGAGTTCTCAGTGCAGAAACTGTTGAGCATCATTAATAATGCAAAGAACCCTGATAATGGCAAATTTTTTGCCTGGGATGGTTCAGAAATCCCCTGGTAATTCAGCTAACAGATACAAAAATTACAATTACCTTTTGGTTCCTATGAGCGGAATGAATTGAGAGGGGGGAGGGGAGACGGGGTGCAAACATGCGCCATGTTGAAGTAGCTCGTGTTTGGTTGTATTGTTTACCAAGTTACTAGTGCTCGAGAGTTTTTACTTTTTACACGAATGATGTTACTGTTGCAAATTTTAATCAATATATTCATTCCTATTTTTGTCTCTTGGAGAACTAAATACCAAGGAATTATGGGCCTGTTTGTTTCAATGGAAAATTTTTTCCAGAAAATGTTTTTCCTTTTTTCTGATGTTTGGCTGCAAAAAGCGTCCAGAAAACTTTTTCCTAGGGAGAAGGTATTACCCGATCGAATGGAAAACAGCTTCTGCAAAGCTTCTACTGAAGGTTTTTTCCAACTCTAACACTGTTTGCTCTTCCAAAACAAAGCCTTTGCCTCTATAACCATTTTTTCTCCTACTTATTCTCCCTAGCAACGAATCTACCATTCCTTGTTGGATCTACTTTTTACTCTCGCTCTCACACACAGATCTATGATTCTTGGTTGGATCTTCTTTTTCACTCTCACACACAAAATTTACGATTCCTCTTCATCTCTTTCTCTAATATACATCGACGGATATTTTTAAATAGGTGCAGCACTTCACATATTGGTGGATGTATCATGTATCTCCAAAAGGACATAAATTTTGCAGTAATTGTTGTTACTTGTGAGGAAAATATTTTCAAAAAATTCAATCAAACATGAGAAAATAATAGAAAAATATTTGATTTCTCTAGTATTTTCTCATGTTTGGTCCACCAATGTTCTAAGTCGACTTTCTTTCTGTGCATTTGATCATGTTTAATCTTTAAGGTAATTTGGATGTGGTTATTCAGCTCAGTAGATTTCTGCTGTTGACTCTTAAAGATAATAGAATCTTATAGTCCATCAAAGTCTCCACAATTGTTCTTTAGCACTAAATGCATAATGTAAAAGAATGCTCAATGATGAGCATATGAGAATTTCATGTCCAAGAACTCACATGTCCTTGTCAAGATTTGCATCATCAGAATCATAGGCTTAAGCTTGGCTTGTTTTCCTCTCTTTTTCTGTAAATTTAAATTGTAGATTACTGCCTTTTAACTCTTATATTGGATAGAGAAAAAGGGCTAAATGCAAAAGGTATAAAGGAAAATAAAAATGGGATAATTGGATTGGAAAGGATATTAGTTCCTATGTTATACCTCAACTATGCTACCATTCCTTCTCTTTTCATTGCGAATCAAATGCAAGAACATATTTTCTTGTACAAGTAGTTCTATTTTCTGAATATATTCCAAATACCAGCCAGTGATGAGGCCACATGGTAGATTATCTAGCCAAAATTAATGGCATTAGAACCCCTGAAATTCTAATCAAATTTTGCAGTCTTCGATTTTTTTTTTTTTTTGGGTTTTGTTTATGTTGTCTCCGTTTGATTGATAGTTAAATCTACCCCTTCCTGATTTTCAGTTTGAAACATTTCGTTTTTCTATTCCCAATGGTATTCTTCATCCAAATGACACTATAGTTTTACCTGAAGTGAGAGTAAGACTCTATAGATGGACAACTTGGTGGAAACTAATCAAGATTCCAAAAAACAGCAAGAAAATTAGTAGAAATTTAAACACACTGAATGGAAGGTTGATCCAGAAGTAAAGAAAATGTGGAATTATGATGCTCAAGAAAATTGAGTTACTAAAACAACCAAATGGTACATCAGAAAGGCCCCAATCCAAGGGTCCTCAGTACAAGTGTTTTATTCAAATCTTACTCCCTATGATTGACAAATTGCCAATCCATGCTTCAAATTTCCAAAGCATCTCAAATTTAAACACACTGAATGGAAGGTTGATCCAGAAGTAAAGAAAATGTGGAATTATGATGCTCAAGAAAATTGAGTTACTAAAACAACCAAATGGTACATCAGAAAGGCCCCAATCCAAGGGTCCTCAGTACAAGTGTTTTATTCAAATCTTACTCCCTATGATTGACAAATTGCCAATCCATGCTTCAAATTTCCAAAGCATCTCAGTGGATCCTGCAAATAAAAAATTAAGTTTTAGAGCATTGCTGTATAGTGAAAAACAAACAAAAAACAATATCTACAATTTGGAACTCAAGTAATGCAAAAAAAAAAAAAAAAAGCTATATCAAAAATTTATACAGATTATCTCACCAAAAAAAAAAAAAAAGTTAGCCCACATAAACTTTCCCTTCTGGAGTCCACAATTTATCTGAGATAGTCCATATTACTTTACGATTAACCCTGTAAAAGTAACTAGTACTAAACTAAAAAGTAGAAAAGAGTGTCACACATACGCCTCACAGTTGGTGTTCATGGAGACAGGGAAGCCAACATTGATGCGGCAAGCAGCAGGGATTTTGCTCAAGTACTTGTCCTGAACACCAGGGAAGCTCTTGACACCTGTCTTGAGGCATCTGCAGATAGCCTTCTTATCATTAACGTTCTTGACAGTCTGAGCAAGCTGTTGCAGCCCAGTGCAGCATGCAGCAGCTGGCTTTGTGTCCTTACCTCGAGCAAATGACACACAAGCTGCAGCCTTCGCGGCAACTGTGCCACAATCTGGGGCTGCTGCATTGCTCAAATGAGCAACAGCAAAGAGAAGAGAGAGGATCAAGATCATTGAGAAGCAAAGGCTCTTCATGGTTGATTTTCTTTACTGTTTGAACAAAATTGAAGATGTATGTGTAGAGTAACTTGGTTGCTGAAGATTGATGGAATTGGTGAAGGGGTAAGTGACCTTTATATAGAGAAGGCTTGTGATAGTCTTGAACGTTGGAGATTGTGGCTTTGAGTTTCCCTAGGACGATTAATTGGATAACATTTTCAGGTTTTGGCCATTGGGATTGATGAAATCATGTAGCCCCATTCGTGAATATTGTCTAGTCTAAATCAGAACAAGTAAATACCAACGGTTATTTTCAATTAGCTAGACCAGTAAAGCTATTAACGTTATGTAAATGCTAATAGGTTTTGGATAAGAGGGTGAAAATTCTACTATTGTATAGTTGGTTTTGATATTAGATGAGCAAATAAGGGAGGATTATAGCATTATAGGTTAAGTACTTAAAGTATATGGGAGGGTTCTTTTCTTTGTCCACTTTAATTAGCTTTACAAATGCATGGTAATGCACCTTCTTTGGCTGTTGACCTATTGAATATCATGTGCTGAGTAGGGTTGCAAACGAGCTCAGTCAAGTCGAGTTTTGACTTAATCAAATTTTTTCTTGACTTAGTTTTATCGAGCTCGAGTTTAAAAAATAAAAAATAATTATTTTATTTTATTTTTAAAAATAAAATAATAATTTTTCTTAACGATTAATAAAATATTAGGGATATATATATATATATATATATATATATATATATATATATATATATATATATGTAATTTTACCATTAAGATAAAAAATAAAAATATATAATCGAGCCGACTCGCGAGCTAACGAATTGAGTATCTTTGAACTCGAGTTCGACTTGGTCAACTCGAGTTTGATGTTGACTGAGTTCGAGTCGAGTTTTAACTCGAGTAGCTCGCAAGCGATTCGATCGACTCGAGCAGCTCGCAAGCGATTCGATTCATTAGCAACCCTAGTGCTGAAGTTTAATGTGTTCAAAATTGATATTTGCACCCCCATATATGGCCTCTAGCATTCTGTGATGACATTTTAGTCCGTGAGTGAATTAGGGTATGAGAGGCTGCTTTGGAAGCACTAACATCACTTCCCTAATTTACCCTTCAAGACAATTAAAAGGATAAGAAAAAAAAATGCTAGTCTTGCAAAATGCAAAGAAGCAGAATTGCAGAAATAGGTCTCTTGTGTTGAGGGAGAGAGGAGAGAGAGGTGTCATTTTATTCTTGTTCAAAGCTTCCAAACTGCATGCTGATGCTAATAAATCTTCAAGAATAGGGTGGAAAATCTATTGACCTAGGTATTTAATTAGCATGTTACTCTTGTTTGCTTATTTTAGGTGGTAAGATAATTAAATTATGCATCATAAGAAGGTTCTTTTGTAATTGTATTCTATTGTCCCATATATGAGTGGGACTCGGGGCAGGGACGGTTGCAGGTGCAATCGTCCCTGCCAATTTTAGCTCATTTCAACTGCGCGTAACATTGGTTCAACTGCGCGTAACTTTTTTTTCACAGGATGTATTTTCACAACAGATAGTGGTGGGCCCCACACTTGGCGCGGATTTCGAGTTACATGGTGTTATTTCAGCCGCACGAAATTTTGAGGGCCAATTTTCAGCCGCACAAATTTTTAACCGTGCAGGGACGGTCATACTGATGACCGTCCCTGCCCCAAATCCTATATGAGTGGCCTTTGTATCCTTCCTGCACTATAAGTCCTTTTGGTGAGGTCAAGGCTCAGGAGTTATCCTTAATAGATTAATCTATATATACAAGCAAAATTTGGCCTACTGAGAGGGCTTTACGCGTCAAACACATTTAGAGATGAGGAGAGAATTTTTGCTACTTCTTAAGCGTCGGGGTACACTTTTGTAAAGATGATTGAGCCGTTGCTCAAATACTATAAAGTTTAGCTAATTCAATAAAATCCTCTAACATTTTCGAGAAAAAAAAAATAGAGGGCTTTACGCTATGCATAAAAAAAAAAGATGGAAGGTTGGTATTGGCTGGAGACTAGCTCAGCCGGAGTTATGCCAATCTTGACCTATTTATTACTCGGGCTTCGGGGGCAAGATCAGGTTAGTCCAAAGTTTTTTAAACAAAAAATTTTTTTAGGTTATTTAAGAGTACTTTAACAAGGATATAAGTAAAAGAAGATGGAGGGTTGGGTTGTCTGGTAAGATAGTAGATTCTGAATTCAACACCTCTTACTTACAAAAAAAAAAATCTCATAAGTCAAGGCAAGAGTAAATATCTATATATTATCTGTTTGAGGAGGTATTTTCAATTCAAACCTCTCATTGAATCTCTAACTCTCCACTCTTTTTTCCTAGATTTTTAAAATTATTTTTATTCCAAAAATTGTTTCATGCCTTCTATTTCGATTTTGTCCAGTTCGTTATTTTTGGTTACATAATTCTACGTAGATCCAAACATGCCCTGGCAACATTTAGGTACCTAATAAAAACAATTGACTAAAAATAAACGTGCACATTTAAAATAAAATAAGAAAGAAAACCCGTGTTACCAAAAATAAAAAAAAAGGGAGTGACATATTCTAATGCAATCCTGTACATTGAAAATTATAAGATACAATTCTTCAACAACGAATGGCGATCTTAAAGCACAGAATTTCCAGCCAAATTGGTCGAAAATTTTATTTGGTTTCTTTCTACTATAATATAATGTCATAAAACTCTTCTTCTCTTTGCATCTTAGTTTATTAAGAAAAATACAACGAGAAAGCTTTTCTTTCATTTCGGTTTCATTAAGTTCATTTAGACAAAATACGTTTTCTTACCTTAATTTTTTTTGATGACTTTCATGTTTTCGTCCTAGAATTCATGTTTTTTTTAAAAATTAATTATTATCAAATAAGTCCATTTAACACACAATTTAACTCATTTAATCTTGTTATTGAAAAGTTTTTAATGACAAGATGCACGAAACAGTTTTCAAAATTTAAAGCAAAAAAGGAAATTCCAAGACAATCAATCACTGAGATACAACATAATAAAACACATAATTTAAATGTCTTCAAAGTTTTTTGAAACATAATATGTAATTCAAAACATAAAACAAATTTCAAGATTTAGAGTTTTCAATAGAAATAAAGTCTAATACATTCACATGCAATCAGGTATGAAAGTTATAATAACAAATAATAGAAAAAATAACAAGATGAGGTGCAGCTTATGTTGAATTATTATCGAGATGGCATGTTAACCTACATGTTGATCCAACCTAACGTGCTTACATTCATGTCGTTAACAGACTCACTTATGTTCCAGTTGTGTTTAATTTATTAATTCATATTGTGCTTGAGTCGTACCAGAAATTACTACCCATACAATGTAAGAACGATTAATCCTATTAAAATACAAGAATAAAATACGACAAAAAAATGCCCTATAGTTTGACATAAGTAAAATTTTAACTCTTTGTGGTTTGGAAATGTCGCGCCCCACTTTTTGATTGATGTGAAATGAATGTGTGAGATTGTGTGTGTGAAGTGTGGTGTGAACGTGTGCAAAATGAAAAGTAAAAAGGCCATGGGACTTTGGAAAGCGACGATTTGGCCAAATGAAATTTTAAAAAAGGGTTTTTTAAATATGAAAACGGAGTCGCCACTTGGTATAGATTTGGGGTGTACCAAGTCACCCAAAAGAGTGTTTTTTAAAGACAAAGTAGTAAAACCCTTTTTAAAACGACTCCTAATCCACGTAAGCCAAAGAAAAAGGTTCGGGGGTCACGTTTGACAAAGGGGAAGGCAAGGATAGAATCCAAGGCACCCCTTTGACCTAGCCAAGGCTAGTTGCGCGACTTAACCTTACCTTTCCTAATTTTCTACCCAATATATGTTCGCACGTTGGATATGACTATATGAATGCAAAACGGAAAGAAAAATGCAATCCTAAATTCTACGATGTCTCTCGTGAGGCTTTTGGTCCCAAACCACATGAATTGTGGCGGCCAACAAAGGAAAACCCCATAGAGGTCGATTAATGCAAATGAGACTCAAATGTGCAAGTGTGGAAGTGTATGAAAGAAATTAAAAACCAAGTGTTTGTGTGCAAGTGTATGAAAAGGTGCACGTGTGCAATTGTATGAAAATTCCAAGTGTTTGTGTGCAAGTGTATGAAATATAGTGATAAGTGCATATAGGTGTAATTAAATGCAATTTTGTGAAGTAGAAATCAAAATGAACAATAAGGAAAGGAAAATGTGAATTGAAAAGAATGAGTGAGTGATAAATGAGAATGAATGAACCTAAGGGAATGCATCAGGTCGGGTATGGGAATGACTCCTAACTTGTCGACTTCGATTTTCCCTTTGATTAGAAGGCAAAACTAGCGTGCTAAGGCTATCGAGTAGCCACACTCGCTCGTTTCCCTTATCAGAAGGGGACCCTCAAGCAAATGGACCCTACAACTATCATGATATGCAAAAATCCTAAAATGAAGGGAAAGGGGGTTCGAGGAGCATGCCAAGTGATAAAACTAAGAAAAATGCATGATATGTGGTGAACAAGCAAATGATATGCTAATGAGGGGAAATCCCTAAGGGTCTAGCGTTGGACTAGCCCATTCTATGAATTCCGACTAGCGTTGGACTAGCGGAAACGTACATTCATCCATTCCATTCATTCATGGTTATGGAAAGCGAGTAGACATGCCAAACACTTGTAAACACATAGCACATAGCATTTAGCATGCTCGACTAGATGCAAGAGCCTAATAAAGCAATTAAACATGTAGCAACAAAAGCAAGCAACCAGGGGGAAGGGGAAATGGACCAGATGCTCTCCGAGCCCTATCTATTACAAGCCAAGAGGTGTACACATACCCCATAAAAGCATAAAGGGGAAAGGGAATTGGACCAGATGCTCTCCGAACCCTATCTATTACAAGCCAAGAGGTGTACACATACCCCATTATGAATAACTTAAATAAAAAGCCAAAGTAAATGAAATAAATGAAAGGAATCAAAGAAAGGCAAGGAAAGCGAAGTAGGCATGCATATTCACATAACACGTAGGAGCACGTAAGGTCAAATGTAGTGCGAATTAGGGATAGAGTGTACCTCCC